AGTATTTTTTAAAAAGCAGCATGGTACAAACATCTATGCATATCATTTATTCGTAGTTTAATTAACATACTTTATTTTACGGACTGTAAATAAAAATAGTTATTTAACCAACAGCATTACCATGGTTAGGAGGAACAAGAAAAAAATAATGTGGTACCGTAGTTATTTTACAGTGTTCAACAAAGCAATGAACACAGTGACCTCTGCAGGACTGTAGAGATATTTCTCCAGAGTGAGATATTAAAACGTGTCAGTAGTGACGGGGCAATTCTTCAGCCGAGTAAAAATAAAACTACTAACCGACTCGGGATGGGTGCAAGAATTGAATAACTAAAATTGGGCACACATTGCTTGGGATTTAAGGGTTGACTTCGTGGAGATATATGGGCGCAAGGAGAAATATAACGATCCTGGAGTTAGATTTCGATTTAAAGCTTTCGTGACTGCAGGGATTGATCTTCTTGGTTCTTTCGGTAAAGTCACGTAGAAGGGAAACAATAAAATAACAAAAATAAAACATAATTAAATAATTCTCACGACGTTTCGGCCACAACGCAAGCAGCCGTCCTCAGGTGAAGAACAGGTCTGTCGGAAAGACAGCATTCAGACGCTGTCTTTCCAGCAGCCGTCCTCATGTCTTTCCAGAAGCCGTTCTCAGGTGAAGAACATGTCTGTCGGAAAGACAACATTCAGATGCATTCAGACGCTGTCTTTCCGACAGACCTGTTCTTCACCTGAGGACGACTGCTTGCGTTGCGGCCGAAACGTCGTGAGAATTATTTGATTATGTTAAATTTTTATTATTTTATTATTTCTCTTCTGCGTGACTTTACCGAAAGAACCAAGCAGATGGATCCTGGAGTTGGCTTTCAAAAAAATGCTTTACTGTACATTTTAAGGGGAGCGGTGGCGCAATGCTTAGGGCAATTCAATCGTGACCACTACGGCCCAGTGTTCATGTTAACTGGGTCAGCATTTTCAGTGTTAGCTTCGTCGACGGTATACGACAGGCGTTTGTCTGTGTATTTAATGTTGCTGTTAACATATATAAAAACAACTATATGGTGACGAAATTAAAATTGGACGCAGTGTAGTAAGCACGTTATTTTAATACTATCCTTGTGTATGATGGCATTATGTTGTGGAGACAAATGCCAATGTCGAGGCCTGTTAGCCACGAGAGGGCTTTAGGAGAGGGAGATCGAGCTGGCGTGGTTTTGATATTCCTCCGTTCAAGGAGCGCAGACTTGAGTTGTTTAAGATATGGTCCATAACATGGAACCTTTCCTGCCATTATCAAAGTATAAGAATAGGTTTTACCATTTCTGGCAATGAGGCAGGTTTCGATTTAAAGCTTTCGTGACTGCAGAGATTCATATTCTTGGTTGCAACACAAGCAATCATTATCAGGTGGTTTGCACACCTGATGATGATTGCTTGTGTTGCAATCGAAACGTTGTGAGAATTTTATTGTTTTATTTATTATTATTGTATTATTTCCCTTCTACGTGACTTTACCGAAAGAACCAAGAATAAAAATTAAACAGGTGTGAACAGGTCCCATGTTGTAGCAGCTCACCACGAGCTATGCATTCCCTGATAGTGACGTTTTCTTTGTGCTGTTCGCCTTTTGGCGTTCTCTGGTCTAACACTGTTTGAGGCTAGGCCCTGAAGAAGTCTGTCTGTGGTGTTAATCCATCAGTTTCAAAGACAATGCCCATATCTGACCAAAGCATGTCTTTTTTGTTTGCATGTTCACCACAAGTGTGTGTGGTTAATGCAGATTCCTTGCAAACATATTTTTTTGGTGTTTGAACATCTTAACACAACTGTTTTATTGCCAGAAAGGGTATATATGGGCCATAGTTCGAGTTTAATAACCACATGAACTTGACAAAAGTTCCACAGATTTCCATCGGCTAGACTAAGACTTAAATGCTCCCTTAATAACAATTGTATCACTTCTGCAGCCACTACAGATTCTACATGCTACACAGTCTGGTGTTCAGAATATAACTATCGATTGGGTTACATTCTTATCCATCCTTGGTCGATCTGCTTATACAATCTGATTCAGATGTTGTTAAAAATCGGATCGATGTGGAACTTGGATATATTTGTAGTTAAGTGATCATTGACTCTATCGAATACTCGACTTATCGATTAACACGAAATTATTTGTAAGGGGGGTGGAGGGGAGTCTCTCACCTTTGTTCCCACGTGTGCCGCTGGAAGGGAGGTCATGGTCGCGACCTGTTGAAGTCATTGGCTTCATCAGCCACAGACACTGGGGGCGTGGCTTGTAGGGGGTTTCCTGCCTTCGGCAGGCAGCAGGAATGTTGGGAAATATTTCAATGTGCGGAAGAAATGAGCCACTAGACAGGAGTAGACTCCCACCTTTTTAGTCGAATTTCTCTACCCAGGCGAGGACTCTTAGAGACCATTATCGGCTCATTTTCACGAATTAAAACCTCATCGACTAATTTGCCCGGCTTTAGATCGCAGCTGAATCCACTCTGAGTCGACGTCTGCATCGTTGTTGATTCTCACCGCATCAGTGCTCCTATCTCTTGTGTAGTCGTGCAGAGAGTGATGATGTCACCTGGTTATGCACGAACTTGTCACGATGCATGTTTTGACACATATTAAAACCCCTTTGGGCGGACATGTAATGCAAAGCAGTGTATTACAACTTTATGTTCTAAGTTTGCTCGTTATGATATATCAGTTTGTACAAGATATTGGGTTATTGCTTTCACAGGTGTCTGCCTATCCCTGTTAAGAGGCCACTTGCGCTTTAAACGTGATGAGGCTTTAAGATTTAGTTTGAGTGCCCCAAGGGTCTGACCTAAGACCCTTGCTGTTACCTGCCCTATGGAAGCTGCCATTTCTTCATTAAACTTTCCCCATAACTTCTTCCTTTACCGCTGTGACCTTGCCTCCAGCATTGCCGACTGCTTAACGACTGCCCAATCGTGGATGTCAAGCCACTACCTTTCCATCGGTCCTTCCAAAAGTGAAATCCGTTTTTTCCCCTCTCTCCCCGCTCCACTCCAACCTCTTCTACCATCTCACTCCCTCCCTTCCCCATCGCTCCTGCTTCCATCTCCTCTGCTCGCAGCTTCGGGGTCATCATCATCATCATCCTCCACTCCTCACTCTCCATCCGCATCTCTTGATACTCACCTGCACTCGCCGCCTTCACCTATTCAATATTCCTACAATCCGCCCCCCCACACTCCACACCCCCCATCTCACTCTCTGCCGCTAAACTCCTGGGTCACTCCCTCGTGTTCACTCGGCTACAGTCCAGCCAGGGAGGGGGGGGGACCCCCCAGTGGCAGTTGTCTCTGTGCAGCGCGAGCAAGCACGCAGCAGGGGCGTGGGGCGGCGGGGAGCATTCGTCTGCCGGTAGGGGGCGAGCGAAGCTTTGGCACCTGTCCGACGAAGTCATTCTCCAGTTGTCACGGTCGACGTCGGCATGCGGTTGGGAACCGTTGGACCAACGTCGAGCCAACGTTGGCGTTGGCCTAGACCAGGGGTGGGCAAACTTTTTCACTCGCGGGCCACAATGGGTTCTAAAGTTTGACAGAGGGGCCGGGCCAGGAACAGATGGAGTGTTTGTGTGAACTAATATAAATGACATGTAAAAATCATTACATGAAAGGATTTGGCCCTTAACAGGTAGCAAAGCATTTATTTGCAAGGAAATTTAACAGTGGGGTCTAGAACGGACTCGTGAAATTCGGAGAGAACTCGGAGTTAAGTTTTGTTTGTTTTGTTGAATTACTCAAAGTGCGCCATCTAATGGGGAAATGGGGGCATTACAGTAGGAAGGTAAAATTAAATTTAAAATAATATTTGGACAAGTTCGGCGGCCTGGATTAAAAAGCCCAACTGGCCGTATACGGCCCGCGGGCCGTACTTTGCCCATGTCTGGCCTAGACGTTCTATATATTTGCTGGGTTGCCGGCAAGTTAACTATATATTTTATACGAAATAACGTCACGTGATCGATACGCGTCCAGCGTGAAGCAGGCGGCGTGTGCTGAATGGGTAAGATGCAGCACTCCGTATTAACCAGGGCGACCGCAGGGCTAGAACTGCGAGCCACTCATGCGAAACCGAGTTACGCCCAACGTTCTGCGGCAGACCCCTCTAGTGGTTTGTATGTCTGTCTACAGATATGTCTGTACTTATATCTGTATGCATGTCTGTTTGTATGTATGTATGTCTGTACTTATATCTATATGTATGTCTGTATGTACGTCTGTAAGTCTGTAGGTATGTCTGTATATATGTATGTCTGTATCTATGTCTGTATTTATATCTGTATGTATGTTTATATGTATGTCTATATGTTTGTATGGCTGTTAGATGCATGTATGTCTGTACGTCTGTATGTATGTATCTGTATGCATGTACGTCTGTATGTCTGTATGTACGTCTGTATGTCTGTATGTACATCTGTATTTATGTATGTCTGTATGTTGAACTTCTTTCGCACCATACGTAGCGAGCCGCGCTAATCGGAGGTGGCGGAGGGGAACGACAACACACTCAACACAAAAATCAGTTTTAAAGTACTCAGTCCTTAATCCAGACGATGATTTAAAATCCGAGTCCGAGTCGCGATCACCCTGCAGTTCTCCACAACGGCCAATGAGGGCACGCTACTACCTACAACGTCTCCACCACTGAAGTCGCAAACTTCCCTGGGCTGTCCTCTCTCTCTCTGCTTTCACTTTACGTGTACGTGCATGTGTGTGTACGTGGCGTACCGCAGTCTTCCGTGTAGGCTCACAAACACACACACAGAGGCACACGGCAAGGCATGAACGCAGACTCGCTCCGAGTCTCGTCTCGGATTCGGCTCGGTGACACGCCCCACGTGGATTCACGCACACAATCATCCAAAGCACGTGGGACTCGCAGAGTGACTCAGGAGTGAATTGACGCACACACGCACACACACGCGCGCTAGCGGTCGCACAGGAACGCGGGCGTGGACTCCCGCAAGTGACACCACGAGCACACGCAAAGCGCAGAGCACGCAAAGCGTAGAGCACTCTCACGTCCACTCAGCGCAGGTCACAGTGCGGACGAAGACGCGCAACATCAGCGCTGACATCGACTCACGCGCAGGTCGCACAAAAGTTCACAGGCGGTGGGCACGCACTACCGCCATAGACTCACGGTCACACCGACTCAAAGACTCACGCAGTCGCACGCAAGCTGAGACTCGGTGACACACACAAGTTAAGAGTGACACACACGTAAACTAAGTGACACACACACACAAGCTAACACTCAGTGACACACACACACTCTAAGAGTGACACACACACACAAGTTAAGAGTGACGCACACAAACTAAGAGTGACACACACACACAAGCTCAGATTCAGTGACACACACACACTCTAAGAGTGACACACACACACAAGTTAAGAGTGACACACACACACACAAGTTAAGAGTGACACACACGTAAACTAAGTGACACACACACACAAGCTAACACTCAGTGACACACACACACTCTAAGAGTGACACACACACAAGTTAAGAGTGACGCACACAAACTAAGAGTGACACACACACACACAAGCTCAGATTCAGTGACACACACACACTCTAAGAGTGACACACACACACACAAGTTAAGAGTGACACACACACACACAAGTTAAGAGTGACACACACGTAAACTAAGTGACACACACACACAAGCTAACACTCAGTGACACACACACACTCTAAGAGTGACACACACACAAGTTAAGAGTGACGCACACAAACTAAGAGTGACACACACACACACAAGCTCAGATTCAGTGACACACACACACTCTAAGAGTGACACACACACACACAAGTTAAGAGTGACACACACACACACAAGTTAAGAGTGACACACACGTAAACTAAGTGACACACACACACAAGCTAACACTCAGTGACACACACACACTCTAAGAGTGACACACACACACAAGTTAAGAGTGACGCACACAAACTAAGAGTGACACACACACACACAAGCTCAGATTCAGTGACACACACACACTCTAAGAGTGACACACACACACAAGTTAAGAGTGACACACACACACACGCTAATACTCAGTGACACACACAAGCTCAGACTCAGTGACACACACACGCACTAAGAGTGACATACACACACAAGCTAACAGTGACACACACACACAAGCTCAGACTCAGTGACACACACACAAACTAAGAGTGACACACACACAAGCTAACACTCAGTGACACACACACACACAAGCTAACACTCAGTGACACACACACAAACTAAGAGTGACAAACACACACACAAGCTCAGACTCAGTGACACACACACAAACTAACACTCAGTGACACACACACACAAATTAAGAGTGACACACACACACAAGCTAACAGTGACACACACACACACAAATTAAGAGTGACACACACACACAAGCTAACAGTGACACACACACACAAGCTAACACTCAGTGACACACACACAAGCTAACACTCAGTGACACGCACAACTTGAGCGTCAACTCGTTGACACGCGCAGCCACACACCGAGTCCGTCACACGTGACACGCTCACGACGCACACCGCCTCGCTCGCGTCACGCCGCTCGACACTTCATCACAGACTCGCACGCGCGCTCACTCCACCACGAGCGCCGCGCGCACACTTTGGCCGTGAGCTTCCCCTTACAAAGCAACTCCTGTGCACACGAGGACACGAGGAAGAACGCCCGCTGGATCATCATGTAGGGGCTGGGGATGATCGTGAAGATAACTCCAAGTTTCGGGACGGCTTAACCTAACTTAGAAACAGACACGGTCACAGACGAGCCTGTCGATTTTATACATGCAGAGTAAATAGATATTATAGAGAGATAGAGAGACTTTGACTTTTTCAAACAACTTTATTCCTCCAGCGTCAATTGCGCTGGAGTCATTAGTCGTAAACGGTTCCTGGTGACAGGCAGAAGAACCACGGCACAGAGAGCTCGTGGAACTTAAATGCGTAGCCATGGACGGAGAGGAACCGAACTCGGCGTCGGAGGAACGGGACAACAGCAGCAGCGGCAACTCCTCAGCGGAGTCACCGGAGCAGAGCCGGCTACTACGCAGCGCCTCCAACTCCTCCTCGTCGTCTTCCTCGTCCTCCTCGGAGGGGTCGCTCCGGGCTGAGCTGGAGCGGCTGAGTCGCGAGCTGGCGGCCAGCAGCCGGGAGAAGGTGCAGGCCGCCGAGTACGGCCTCGCCGTGCTGGAGGAGAAGCAGGCGCTACAGGAGAGATGCGACGCGTTCGAACAGGCGTACGAGGCGATGCGCGCAGAGATGGACCTGCTCAAGGAGGTGATGATGGTGGCCGTGGTAGTCGTTCAATATTGGCGCGGGGGGGGGGGGGGGTCACTGCGGCGATGGATGATGATGATGATCGTTATTCATGTCATCAGCATTAATCAGTGCAACTTACATTGTTGTCATCAGAAGCATTACCATCATCGTTGGTCAGGATCATTGAGAATCATCATCACCACCACGAGTGTCATTGTCGTCATCAGTATCATTGCGAACTTTCTAGCCAACTGCTGCTGAAGGGTCAGACCTCCTTTCTATTATTAATCTTTGGTCGTCGAGTCAAACAAATGTCGGTACGATGTTTTAACACCAAACAAGATCGTCATCCTCACTCTCTCTGGTAGCGTTTGGTGTTTGCTTAAAGATTTGAGAATAGGGTTTCCCCTTTTTTCTGGCAACAAAACTTTTCTTGCTGTGGATTTCACACCTGATGATGATTGCTTGTGTTGCAGTCGAAACGTCGTGATAATTTTTATTGTTTTATATATTTTTTATTTTATTATTTCCCTTCTACGTGACTTTACCGAAAGAACCAAGAATAACAAAACAGGTGTTAAGATGTTAGAACACCAAACTGAAACCTTTTTACAAAGAATCACGTCTGCATTAACCACAATGCTTGGGGTCAGAATGCAAACAAAAAAACGTACTCTGATAATATATGCATTGTCTTTGAGACTGATTGGTCCTCACCAGAGACAGCTTTCTTTTGAGCCTCGTCTCAAAAACGGTGCTAGACCAGAGGACGCCAAAAGTCTAACACCTTTTGAGACGAGGCTCCAAAGAAAGCTGTCTCTGGTGTGGACTAATCAGTTTCAAAGACAATGCATATACTATCAGAGTACGTTTTTTGTTTGCATTCTGATCACAAGTATTGTGGTTAATGCAGACATGATTCTTTGCAAAAGGTTTCAGTTTGGTGTTTTAACATCTTAACACAGCTGTTTGTTGCCAGAAAAAAGGTGAAAACCTCTTCTCATATTTTGGTACTGCCAAAGGAGGTCCCATGATGTTGCTTAAAGATTGTCCAACACTGAGTGTTGTGAAGCCCCCCCCCCCAACCTCCCCTTGTATTATGCCCCCCCCCCACACTTTTAAACAAGGCCACGCTGCTGTGTTGCGTTATCATGGCCAGGAGTTATCAGTATCATTGTCGACAAGTCGGGGGTAAAAAACTTAACGACGCAGGTAGGATGTGTTTGTTTCTAGATTTGAAGCTTTCGTGACTGCAAGGATTCATACTCTTTGGTTTTTTCGCTAAAGTCACGTAGGAAAAAAACCTAATAAAATAAATGAAAACAACTAAGTTAAATCACGACGTTTCGGGAGCAACACAAGCGTCCTTCTTCAGGTGGGGACAACGTAGCGAAAGCTCTTTTGCGATTTAATTTAGTTGTTTTCATTTATTTGATTTTTTTACCTTCCTGACTTTACCGAAAAAAAACAAAGAGTAGGATGTGTTTGGTCACAACGAGCACGGAGGTACGACCCCTGTCCGCGTGCCTTGCGTTGCGTGTCGCGTGCAACCACCGCACTGCGATGTGCAATTCTCTCAGCCCTGTCCGGGGACAGCAACTCAGAAGAGCTGGCAATGCTGCCGTCCTTGAACGAGGCCCGAGCAGGCTGCATCTTCTTCTTGGTTCTTTCGGTAAAGTCACGTAGAAGTGAAATAATAGACGTTTCGGCCACAACGCAAGCAGCCGTCCTCAGGTGAAGAACAGGTCAGTCATTCAGACGCAGCCGTCCTCAGGTGAAGAACAGGTCTGTCAAAAAGACAGAACCAAGAAGATGAATCCCTGCAGTCACGAAAGCTTTAAATCGAAATTTTGGCTGCATCTTGTTCAGCTTGTGGCCTGCATCTGGCGTGCTTTGGTCGCGGGAATGAGCGCCACTTAAACTCGCAAGTTGAATAGAGTGAAGGGCAACGCGACGACGAGGATGATGTGTGCCCCTGGTTTGCGTTGCTTAAGAGGTTTGCTTTGATCACGTTTGACGTGTGGTGGGGCAGTGTGGAGAGGTGAATCTCCGGATGTGGTGGTTGTTGGCTCGCCGGAGCAGAAGTTATTTTTTTTGCCCCTCTCCCCCACTATGAAGAGATGGAGACGAGGGGTAGAGATGCGTCGTGAGATGAGAGTTGAGAGCGGTGCTTCATTTCAGCTGGAACAGTCCAGAGCCTCGGTTGGCTACATACCGTGCGAAATAATGTCAACATACATACATTAACTATTGTCCATGTATTTATAAGATGGATCTTTCAGCATATTCATATGCGCGTATGAATATTTGATACAGTGCTAGGCTGATACATATCGGGCTATTATGAATAGTCCTACATTGTACTCCAGTGGTAGTGCCTTGTGCTGTTGGAAGCGTTGCCTGGCAGCGTTTTGGAAAATCTAGTGAGGAATTAGACCCCTGCGCATGAGAGACGCAAATTCGCTTTTTCATTAATAAACAGCTTCTTCTTGGTTCTTTCGGTAAAGTCACGTAGAAGGGAAGTAATAAAATAATAAAAATAAAACATAATTAAATAATTCTCACGACGTTTCGGCCACAACGCAAGCAGCCGTCCTCAGGTGAAGACCAGGTCTGTCGGGGTCTTCACCTGAGGACGGCTGCTTGCGTTGTGGCCGAAACGTCGTGAGAATTATTTTAGTATGTTTTATTTGTATTATTTTATTACTTCCCTTCTACGTGACTTTACCGAAAGAACCAAGAAGATGAATCCCTGCAGTCACGAAAGCTTTAAATCGAAATAAACAGCTTGTTATGTTCGCAACGATCCGAATGAAAGCCGACACTATTTGTTTGAACCCTATTCCCCCCTCATTACCTCGTGGCCCCCTGAGCTGCTTGGGGCCTCAAGCTTCTTCTCTTGGTTTGTCTTCATGCCAAGTAGCACCCTCGACCACCAATGCTTTTCGAAGGCGGTGAGTTGGGCATGGGCGTGGAGGGGGCTCCTTGCCTTCCCCGCAGGCTCGGCACAGCGGGGCCACTCCTGAGCCAGCCCGTGATCGCAAGCTGATTCTCAGAAGGAAGTTACGTTTCGGCTGCACAGTGGGCAATGCGCGCGCACGTGTGTGGCATTCAGCAGCCCAAGCGCTAGATTTCCCACGCAGCAGCGCAAGCCGTTCACAAGCGCTCGTCACAACAACAGCAGCCACTGCGTTGGGGGTGACGTCACCACGGCGCTTGTGCCAGGCTAGGTGCACCTCGAGGCTACGTCCGGGTGTCGAAGGCTCGCTGCTGGCAGGAGGTCACGGGACAGCCTTCAGGTGCCATGGGTTTGATTGAGATCACTGGCGGATGCACAAGCTTTGCTTGCCGACTGTGCCACAGCCCTTATCAGACAGGGCACAGCAGGAAACGCATGCCGGTGTTTCCTCAACACGCATTGGCGTTGAGTGCACGGCAAAAGGCGGATTATTTTGTCATCGATTAATATCATAATCGAACACATTTGGGTTTTGGATGTTATACCTCTATGCAATCTGGCCAGAAATGTTTCGTCAGCATGGTTTATATCAGTCGTAGCCTTCGGCTCATCAACACGAATCTGTGTTGTTTTCGAGTCCAAGTGTCAGGCTGTGAATTTCATGTAGTTATTATTTTGGCCTAGCCGACGAAAGCTGTCACTTAGCTCACTCTTCATGTATTAAATGTTTGTGTGAGGAGCAGCATGAAATCTTCCACCACCCAGGTACCACATGCAACGTCGAGCCGACGTTGCACGCGGTTGAGAGCATTGAGCCCAACGTTCGCCCAACGTTCCACGCTTTACGCAGACCTGCCACCGATACGATCAGCGCAGCCAATCAGTGTCTGCATTGTAACTCGCTCACTTCGTCAAATCAGAGTTGCGCTTTCGTTGGTCTCTGGCGGGCAGTTCAGAGTCATCGTCACGCCTGATGACAGAACTTCACTCAGGCATCATTGCCTAAATGAAAATGTGACACGTACCGTACCACAGGTCAACTTTGTCGCACGAATTTCATTCGCAACGTTGACTGACACCGCTGTACGTACTTGCCGGGGGGTCGCGTGGATGGAGTGTGTTACTCGTGAAACTTGGAAGGTTCATCTTCTTTTTTTTTCTTTCGGTAAAGTCACGTAGAATTGAAATAATAAAATGATAAAAATAAAACATAATAAAATAATTCTCACGACGTTTCGGCCACAACGCAAGCAGCCGTCCTCAGGTGAAGAACAGGTCTGTCAGAAAGACAGCGTCTGACAGATATGTTCTTCACCTGAGGACGGCTGCTTGCGTTGTGGCCGAAACGTCGTGAGAATTATTTTATTATGTTTTATTTTTATTATTTTATTATTTCCATTCTACGTGACTTTACCGAAAGAACCAACAAGATGAATCCCTGCAGTCACGAAAGCTTTAAATCGAAACTTGGAAGGTTGTGAATTCAAATCGAATTGGGGCTCGACTCAGCCTTGCATTCAATGCACCTTCACAACCCTTTAGTCAATCCACTGCTGGGATGTGACCGTACTTCTCCACGCTGCTCAGTTTCAGTTGGTAAAGGTGGGGAGCATAGACGTGGGAGCATAGCAGTACGGTACAACAGTGGTTTGCGTTGCACTGCCCCACGCTTCTTCTGCCTAATGCTGCATTAAGGCCTTGCCAGGCTGTGTCAGTCATGGGATTGTGTGCCCATATTTTACCACACTTGTCAGTGGGTGTTGATAAAAAAACGAGTACCACAGTTGCTTCCTACGAAAAACCCCTGCCGTAGGAATGTGGAATTAACACCGCTGGCTCGGCGCTGCGTGCAAGAGTGTACAAGACAGCAGCACCTGCTCACGTTCATTCGAACAGAAAGCCACTTTTTTTGCACTCCCGTTGATTTTTTTTCTTGAGCCCTCGACGCTACTACGGCTTTGGAACTCTTCGCTTTGACGCACGTGGTGGTGCGAACAGAGCGTCGTCAGAACGCGCGGGCGTGGACGCAACAATTCCGCGTCGCGATTTTCACGAAGAA